GTATAGTCGACAGGGGTCTTTCCAGGCTCGATGGAAGCAGGCGCGACAAGCACACGGCTGAGCATCACTTCAGAAAGTGTGTGGGGATGTCCAGGGGCGGGGGGAGGAGGAGGAGGAGGAGGATGTGTACCCAAGGCGTCCGCGGAAAGGTGCAGAATGGCATTGGAACGGGTGACCGATGTAGTGCCTAGACGCACGCACTGTTGGGCGTGAGGGGTCACCTTTGCGCCTCGCGCTTCCAGGCTTTATGGGAGGGTGATGTACTCCAGCTACTCGAAGGAGCTTTGTGGAGTCATCGTGTATTTCAGTTGTTGGATGATCATACTGAGGGATGTTACGAGGAGACGGAGGAAGACGACCCGTCGCCCAAGCCAATGGACATCGGGTCGTCCCCCCCTACGTTGTATGACGCCTCATTACGCCAGTTACCTGCGGACTTGCATGTCGATCCTGGCCGCCCCAACGACCCGTCAAATCTGATAACAGGGTTGAGAGGAGAAGAGTGGGCGGGCGGGATAGGATTATGATCACGAGGCTGACGGTGACAGTTGAGGCGACGACGGAATTGGCGACGACAACGACGACGAGGGGGATGCTGTCGAGGAAGACATCTGAGGGGTGAGGCGGAAGGACGAAACGATAACCAGGGTAGGCGTTCAATAGGGGAGTGGGACACATGCAGTTGCATGCAGCTGCCTTCGACGCCACCAGTGGGCACTGCCTTCGATACTCGGTCGCTCCCAGCTCGGGGAGTCGCCGCAGGAGCCAGACGAAAAAAGGGTGTCTTCGTCGCCGACATTGGCGCATAAGCTGCCCGCCTAAGGTCCCGCGTAAGGGCTCTCGTCTCCAAAGTGGCGTGCCACGGAGGCGGCCCACGTAGGCCGCGGCGTAAGATCGCTGTGCCATCGTGCGTAAAACCAGTATTTGTCGACGCGCAGTTGCATGCAGCCGAGGAGGAAGAGTAAGAGGAGGAGGAGGAGGAGGAGGAGGAACAGGGCATACCTAAGACTCATCAACACCCTGCTCCAAGAACCCTCCTTCTTAGGGAATTGCCCCGTTGCGGGACGACCGCGTGAACATCTTGAAGCATGCCAAAACACAATTCTCAGGTTTCCGGCGCCACGAGTTACTTTGATTGTTACGTCTTGGCGAGCCTGAATCGTACCAGAACGCATTTCCGGGGTTTTCAACACCACGAACCAACGTAACTGCTGCGTGCTGGCTGACCTGAGTCGTTCCAACGCACCCTTGAACCATGAGAACGACTGAGACTATCGCTAATATTTCAAGCCAAGGTACGCGGCGCCAAGGCACGAGCCGCATTTTGGAAAGGAGCCGCCCTCAATCCGTGGCACGATTGCACATGTTTGAAACACGTGTGCGCGGCGCTAAGGCAGGAGCTGCAGTTTGAAAACCACCCGCCCTCAATCCACACGAACTAATGTCCACGGCGCTGAGGCGAGAGCCACATTTTGAAAACCACCCGCCCTCAATCCATGAAACTGATGCAACGGTGGTCAAACGAATGTGCATGGCACTAAGGCGAGAGCCACGTTTTTTTGTTTGTTATATATATACATATCTAAAAAAGAAGAAAAACTCCCACTCTCCGATACACTCGTGCAATGTTTTAATACGAATGTTCGCGGAGCGTAGGCGAGAGACACATTTTGATACTGACTCGCCCTCCACTTGTGAAACTGTTGTCCATGTTTGAACATCATATTCGTAAATAGTGAGGACTTCTGAGGTGATACGCCTTGCCCGCCCGTTCGACCAGCCTCGGGGTGCGACGGGGAGAGGTTATTGATAGAAGGACGTGGAATGAAAGAGGAAGAGGGAGAGGAGATCTTCATGTATCCGATTCCCGACAGCCCCCTGGAGGAGGAGGAGGGGAGGAGGAGGAGGAGGAGGATGAGGCGGAGGCGGAGGAGGAGGAGTACGAGGAGGAGGAGGAAGGTGGAGGGGGGAGGGGAGGAGGAGGTGGAGGAGAGAGGAGGAGGAGAGGAGGAGGGAGCTGGAGGAGGAGGAAGAGGAGGAGGAGGAGGAGCAGGAGGGGAGGGGGGGGGGGGGGGGGAAGGAGGAGGAGGAGGAGGAGGAGAAGAGGGGGGGAGGAGGGGGAGGAGGTGGAGAAGGGGGGGGAGGGGGAGGGGGAGGAGGAGGCGGAGGAGGAGCCCCCCCACACCCGCCGCTACCGGGCGCCCACGCGCGGGCAGCGCGAACCGAGGGCTCTTCGGGCCGCTGCGCACGGGCCCCCCCCAGAGGCCCCCTCTCCGCCCATCACGGCGAGGCCGCGCGCTGGCCCCGCCTCGCCTCACCTTCCAGTCGGACGAGGGGTATAAGATCGAGGTTGGTTCGCGGAGGGTGCCTTACAGTAAACCATGATAGTACAGTGGCGTTTTTGATACATGCTCCGCGTGCGGATCACGTATTAAACATGCGGGGAGTTAGTGTTAAAAACAACGATGATATCAAATATCCCATGCGTTTGTTTTTTGTACTATGTATTAAAAATTGCCCTGTAAGGATGGGACAACTTCCCAAGGCTACCCTCGCATCCGTGCCCCCTCGGTGTTCGGCATCCGTCGGCATTCTGCTGCGCTCCGCACGGGAAACGTCAACATGGCGTTTCAAGGCCCTTGCATCCTTACCGCGCATCCTTACTATCCTGGTCGAGTCTAATGTTCGTGCCCTCTGTGTCTTGGATTTTTTATCGCCCCCGCCGGTAACGCTTGTCACGGGGGGTCAGCCCCCCCCTCTCGTAAGGGCAACGACCGTACGGCGGGTTGTGGAGCGAACCCCGCCCCCCCGTGCACGCGGCTGTCGCGGTGTAACAGCGGCGTATGCAGGCGTTGTTGTGCATGCGTGCGTTACGGTGTACACCAGCGTTGTGTTGCATGCGGCTGTTGTGGTGTACGCAGGCGTCGTGCTCGCTTGCCCCCCAGGAGGAGGAAGGGGGGAAGAGGAGGAACAGGAAAACAAGGAGAGGGAGGAGGACGAGGAACAGAAGGAGCTTGGGTTCATACGCGTGCGAGACATTCGCCTCTGCCTAGCGTCTCCTGGCGACAGGGTCATGGCGTCGTGCGGCTCCGAGTTTGTCAGCTTCTCGGGCATCCGGCGACGGCAACGGCGACGACGGCGACGACGGCGATGAACGACGACGTCCTGGGGCCTCCAGAGGCCCCAGGACGTCGATCGTCGTCGTGTGGCTCCACCGCCGATCCGAGGAACCCGCGCGGACCTCTGAATTTTCATGTTCATGTCATCGCCCGTTCCCAAATGCAAAGCTTGCCCCTACCCGAGGACACGTCCTCATAAGTTCTTGAAGAGCTTGCGTAGATGGGCAGAGCAAGAGAGAGAGAGAGATAAATAAAGAAAGACATGCAGACATAACTCTCTTCCCTTCATAACCCCACCCACGCGACTCTTCTTACTCATTATACCCCTCCTCTGTCCGGATTCCCCAGCAGAGTTCGGCGCATGGCCGTTCGCAGCAGCGGTTGGGGTCAGACAGTTTATTATCGGAGGCCTTCTGCCACGTGTGCTGAAGCATCGACGTGATTCGTTACTTGTTTGGTTCACTACTGTTTACCGTGCTTTGTGTAAGTGATGCGTTCGAGTGGGATTGGAAGTTGACCTCGTTCTTGTTGTGCTACCATGAATGCCCATATCGCAGTGATTCGGCAGGACATCGTGCAACAGTTTGGCTATGGCGACTCTGAGGCGGCCCGATTAGGTGTTGCACATCCCTGCATTCACTTGCGAGTCTGCTGCCACAGTTCAAGCATCTTGCACTTGTCATGTGCACATCGTGCGGGCATGTGTGCGTACATGGTGCAATCTGCACATCTACAGTGGAAGTGCATGAACCACACTTGACTGCGCACATATGTCAATTCGTACAGCTTCGCGTATCTTCGCGAGCACATCAAGAAACGACGTTCAAGCGAGTTGTAGCGATCAGGCAAGTTAGGAGCATGCAGAGGAACAATCGTCAAGCCGATGATCGCGATCCTTCTGAGCAGGCCCAGAAGTGAAACATCCATGCCGTCGCGGACCTTTCGATATGGGAGCCTCTTGGCAGCCTACGTGGCCCAGTTTTGGGCCCTCTCGGGGCCATGTTTAAGGCACCATCGATCAAACAAGGGGGATGATGAATCCGCCCCACCAACCCCGCCCACCCCATCCCATCCCCCGCAGAGTCCGCACATTGGCCGCTGGGTGTCCTATTGGGGCCCTCTTGGGCCCCTCATTGGCCCTCCCTGGAGTTTTTCTTTTGTGATTGTGAAACCATTTTGAGGCCCCAATCGCCCGTCGGAAGGGATTTCGATCGCAACGCATCACTATATTGCTTTAGATTTAGAAAGTATGTTGATCTCGCGCGGGAGGTGGGGGTGAGGGGGCTCCGTGGCCACTTGGAGCCGTATTCGGACGGTCATGGCGCTTCTTGGAGGCATGTTGGGGGCTATATTGAGCCATCTTGGGCTACATTGCCAAAATCTTGGAGGCTATCTTGGGGTATTTGGAGCCAGCTTGGAGCCATCGTGGGCCATATTGGACCATCCAACAGGCCGCGGGGGGAGGGGGGGGTCCATGCCATGGGCGAGGGGGGTCGGAGAAGTGTAAACCTTTCCCCGAAAGGGCAGAAGGAGGCTGGAATAGCTAATCTGCAAAACCACCTAGGCCCACAAGGCTCATGGAACTCGTGCATGTGCAGCTGGTATGGCTCTCCAGTTGAGCGGAGGCGGTCATGGTCTCGTTGATGATTTTCATGATGCTGTACAGGATCTTCCGCGCTTTGCTAAGACGCCGACCCTGAGCTTCTGTGCCGTGCCACTTTGTTGATCAAGCAATGTGTTCAAATCCCTCCTTCAACTGTACACCTGTCATCCTCAATCCACGATGGAACAGATTAAGGATCACCTCTTGCTCTTTCTTCTGCTCCTGCGTCCTCCCTCATCCTCATTCGCCTCCTCCCTCCCTGCGAGTCACTCCTCTTCCTGCTCCTTCCTCACCATTCCTCCTCCCTTCTGTGTCCATCCTCCTCGTCCCTCCAAGTCTCCGACTCGCTTCTGTCTCCCTTCTCTACAGTCGGGGCCCTGAAGAAGGAACCCTTTTCGTTAGGGAGGGGCTCGGTGTTCCTTAGTTGTTTTGCAGTTCGCCTTTGGTTTTGCTTAGGGTTTCGATGGGAAATCGAAGTTTAACGTATGGGAAAAAGGGGGCTCGTTCCTTATTTAGGGTTCCTTAGGTCAACGCCCCGACTGTATGCTCTTGCCGTCCGTGTCGCTCATTTTGTTGCTGGTCCCCCTGGCCACCGTGGAAGCAAGACGCGAGCGTCGACCCTTCCGACTCGGCCAGATTTGCACCACGCGCCGAGCAAGATCTTGGGGTGATGCGGCAGCAAATCACGGGAGGCTTGTGTGCCCTCGTCATTGCCGTCTTCAGGGTGCATTGGCGTCGAGCTGCGCCTGGTAGTCGATGAGATGGTGCGATTCTCGCGTCGGTGAGCCTCGCACGGCGCCGATTTTTAGCGCCGATTTGGTGTCGATTAGCGTTGATCGAGCGTCGATTCAGCGTCGATCCGCAAGAGCCGACGCGATGGTGTGGGAGGCTCCCTGGAGCTGCCACCGGAGCAGGAGGAGCGGGCGGCTCGTGCACGGAGGGGAAGGGCAGTCTCCCAGCAGCCCCGGGCCTCTGGGTGGCTCCCCGGGCCTGCAGGGCATGCCGGCAGGGAGTCGCACAGACAGCGAGCACCGGGTGCTGCGGGGGGAGGGGGAGGGAGGAGGAGGAGGAGGAGGAGGAGGAGGAGGAGGAGGAGGAGGAGGAGGAGGAGAGATGAAGGAGGAGGAGGAGGAGGAGGAGGAGGAGGAAGAGGAGAAGGGGGCAGGAGAAGGATAAGGAGCAGGAGGAAGGAGGAGGAGGAGGAGGGGGAGGAAGAGGTACCCATGCCTCTACCCTTCCCTGGTGTTCTCCTTTTGGGGGGGCCTGGGCGGCCCTCGTCGCCACCGCAAGATTCGCCCCGGAGCCCTGGTCAGAACGCACCGCGGGAGAGGTCCGGGGAGTGCCGGTATCGGTACCCTTCGATTTCCCCACAGCGTCCTCGCACGCGAGCGCCCCAATCGTGATTCCTCAGGCCCGAGAGCGGCCAAGAGCGGTGTGTGGCGCCGCCGGCTGCGGAGCCCTGATCCAGAGAAAAGGCGTTGGTTCGCATATCCCCAGCAGCCCATCCAGGATTTGTGCCCAGGCGAGTGAATTTGGCCAGGGAAGTGGCAGGGCTGTTAGTTGATAAAACAGGGAGTCTGCCCATCGTTCGAAGCTGTAGGATCGACCCGATCACCCCCAGAAGCGAATCATGTATGCCTTCGTTGCTCGCTCGAAGGAGGAGTAGTAGCGATGCGGCACATGGAGGAGGAGGAGGATGACCTTGGATGGCGAGCAGACGGAAGAGACGTTGTATGTTCAGATGGTTTCGCATACCATCTGACGAAATTCAATCGGGATGCGGATAGTAATGAAGATGATGTTGATGATGATGATGATGATGAGGAGGAGGAGGAGGAGGATACGGGAAAAGGAGGATATGGAAGGAGCACGATGACCCAGGGTGCTCGAGGGGAAGACTGCGGAGACACGACGTCGACATGCGTCAGTGGGGCCATATCTTGGGATCTGTCAGAGCTCTCTTTGGGATATCGTGGGTCGTTCTTGAGGTCATAGGGGGCCATAGTGGATTATATCGATGAGTTGTATGGCAGCATGGATCCCACACAGCGAGCTGTCGCACCGTGGAGGTCCAATCTTTGTAGGTTCGGAGTTATGGTGCAGGCCTCGCTGTGTAAGCGATGTGGCGTGAGGTCTGTGCAGGGTACGTGTGGCGTCATGGCTCTGCGGCGTGCGCCGCGCGGTGCCAAAGCCGCGCTGCGCCGGCGGCGTCGTGCGAGCCACGTGCCGCGTGCGCCGCGTGGCGGGGCCCGCGCGGTGCCAAAGCCGCGCTGCGCCAGCGGCGTCGTGCGAGCCATGTGCCGTGTGCGCTGCGTGGCGGGGCCAAAGCTGTGCTGCGCGAGCGGCCGGGAGTCACCACCCACCAAACCACCCCAACCCAACCCGAAGGCTCAGATTTACCCTCGATTTCCAGTGGGGGGGGGGTCGGGAAACATCGAAAAAGCACATGTGGAACCCTTACCCCCCCCAATCCGAAATTCGGGTCTTCGGGTTGGGTTGGGGTGGTCTGGTAGGCAGTCCGGGAGCTCCGCGGGCGGGAGCGCGGCGAGGCCCCGGCGGGCTCCCCCAGCGGAGCGCGCGGAGCCCCCCCCCCCGGCGGGGGGGGGGGAGCGGGGCGTCCACGGGCGGCCCCGCGGCGGGGGGCGCTCGGCGGAGCCAGCGGCCTCTCGACGGGCGAGCGCGTGGGCGACACCTCGGCGGGCCCGCCCCGGGCGCGGGGCGGCGCCCTCGTTCGACGATGCGTAAGGGTGACATTTCGCCGGAGTGACCTTTGGTGCGGGCGCAATGGGGTCCCCCGATCACCGATTGCGATGCGATAGTAGCGTCTTGCGCGCCTGAGTTTGGTCTCCCCGCGGCCCCACCGAAGCCGCGCACCAAAGGTCACTCTTACCCTGGGTCACTCTTGCGTGTAGCCGACTCGTGTCGGGGGCGGCAAAGGGGAGGGTGGGGCCTAGGGCTGAGTCGGGCCTGTCCCCCATACAGGGGGATTCTCGACGAGAAACAAAAAGAATACCCCAAACATGGTCCCAAAGTAGTCCCAATGGGGACTATGTTTTGAGTATTTTTTTGCCTTTTTGGAATATTTTGGAGGTATGTTTTAATTCTCGTCGAACATCCCCCTGTAGGGGGACAGGCCCGACAGAAGACTAGGAGGGGGTGGATATCATGGCGGGGGCCGTGATATCTCCCCAGCTTTCAGGGCGCCTCTTCTTGTTTCATTACGTCCTTGGCCCCCCCGCTGGGCCGCGCACGTGCCGCCAGCCATGATTTGCACCCCCCCCCTCTTTGGACACCCCCCTCTTGGCCGCTCCCGATCCTGGCGCCCGCTGGCGGGACCGTGGGCGACAGCTCGACGACCAGCCCGACTGCTCAGACAGCCGAGCAGAACGCCCTCGGTCAAGGGCAGGAAAAACGCCCCTACCCTGGTTCACGAGGCGCTGTGCGCTGAAACTCATGTGGGCTGATGGGGTAAACCCTGCGTGATGTGCCGCGTCCTGGCGGCTCTAGGCTTTGGGGGCTCCCAGGAGGTTTACAGACCACACACTTGTAACCCAGGGTAGGGCTGTTTTTTCATCCCTCCACTCGGAGTGCAAGCGCTGCTGTCACTGGGACGCAGGGGGATGGTGCCCCGTGCCGCCCCTCATCCTGGAGCTCCCAGGGTCGTCGCTGCGGGCCCTCTCCGGCCACGCGTGGGGCGCTCCTGGGAGCCCGGGCAGTCTTGGAGTCTTGCTGGCCCCCTCGTCGTCGGCCCTAGAACCGGGGGTGGACAGACCTCCTACCCTGACACGTCGCTTGAGGAGTTGGCCGTTTTTCGGTTCGCGAGAGGGCGTCGAGGCCGTTATTTTTGCGGGTCTCGGTCCGTCGGTTTCGGTCCTAGGTCCTAGGTTGTTTTCCCTCCAGGGTGGTTTACTAAAGGGAGGTTTGTCCACCGCCGATAGAAGCCCATCAGAACCAAGCATCTTGTCCACGATGGTATATACACGAGGCATGAAGCCTTCAGATCCCCACAAGGCAGCCCGAGGTGGCCACGGAACCTCCCCAGGATGACCTCGCGAGGCCAGGATTCGTCAAACGTCCATGACTGCTGAGAAGGCCTTACGGCCGGCGCCGCCGACCCTGAAGACGACGACGAGGACGAGGAAGAGGAGGCGGAGGAGGAGGAGGAGAAGGAAGAGCAGGAGGAGCCTTTAGGGGCCTCCGGAGAGCTTCTCGGGTCCCAGGGCTCGAAGCGAAGTGTTAAGCATGAAGTATTGAGCATGAGCGCGTTGTAAACCTTGCTGAGGACTCGCGGTCGCCGCAGGGAGGCCATCGAATCTGTCGCTGCGGCGGCGGCGGCGGCGACGACGACGACGCTGACGTTGGTCAGACTCCTCAGGGATGCTTCTTGGGGTCTCTTCGAAGCGCTCTCGGGGTCCCTGCCGGGCAGTTCAGGGGCTTCTGGGAGGCCTCCTGGGAGCGTCTTGCGGCTTCCTGGGGGCCTCTTGGGGGCCTCTCGGGGCCTGTCGGGGGCCTCTTGGGGCCTCTTGGTTCCTCCTGGGAGCCTCACTGGGCTGAGGGCTCGAAATGTACGTTCGGGTCCCTCGTCTGAGCACCCTCTTGGAGCTGCCTTGGGGGCGTCATGGGCCGTCTTGGAAGCGTCTTGAGCCATCTTGGGGCCCTCGTGGGCCGTTTTAGGTCCCTCCTGTTGGCCTTTTGGGCCGTCTTGGGGCGATCTCGATGGCCTCTTGGGCCGTCTTGGAGCGTCGGGAAACGGAAGAGGCGAGAACGCCAAATGCTTCAGAAACCCTTTGGCCATGGGAAATCAATGCTTCTTATTCTTGTGGCCAGGCCCACGCGTGCTGGCGCGACTGCCGCCGCGAGCGCACTGCCTGTTCAGCAAAATGGGAATGTAGTGGATGAGTGCGCATGCTGTAAACAATACTTGGGACAATCGAAGAAATAACAAGGAATGCGCCACATACTGAAAACAAGCGAGGAGGGATTGTCTGGGAGGGTGGATGAGGAGGGTGGAGGGACGGAGGGGGGAGGCGGTAGGGAGGAGGGGAGCGAGGAGGGGAGAGAGCGGGGAAGGGGGGGAGGGGAGGGGCAGGGATGGGGGAGACGGGGGAGGAGGAGGGGGGAGGAGGGGCAGCGAGGAGGGAGGGAAGAGAGGATGAGGCGCCCTTTGCCGAGGCTGGAGGGGGATGGAGGCCTCTACCCCGGGGGGCTGGCGGCGCCCGCGCGCAGTCCCACCCAGCAGCTGCTGGGGATGTGCATGACGATGCTGAGCCGGACCTTCGAGTTCCAGGCGCCGCCTCCGGCAGCTGGCCTCGTCGCCACCGTCCTCCCTCCTGCCTCCCCTCATCTCCTCCCTCCTCCTGCCTCTCCCCATCTCCTCCCTCCTCCTCCTCCCTCCTCCCTCCTCCCTCCTCCTCCTCCTCCTCCTCCCTCCTCCTCCTCCTCCTCCTCCTCCTCCTCCTCCCTCCTCCCTCCCTCCTCCCTCCTCCCTCCTCCCCCTCCTCCCTCCCCGAAAGAGGTCGACATGCGCGCGCTGCCGGCGCGCGAGAGTGGCCGGCATGGTTCTGTTTGACGCGGACCGCGCCCCCCCAGCACCCGCGCAAGGGCGTGCGAGTGATGCCGGCATGCGAACATGGTGGGACACCCGTGGTTTTATTCAGGATTCGCAAGAGCGCGCGCATTTTTGGGGGAAATTTATGTCGCGAAACCATATACGTTTGAGTGTGCTTTGGACATTCAGTATTGAAATCGCTACGCGACCTGAGATTTTTGAAGGGTTTCGGCACGCGCGCGCGACGACTCGCGCGCATTTGTCAGTTTTTGCAAAATATTCTCGCGACGGCAAGCGCGCGCTTTTTCTGCAATATCCGCGTTGCCAAACCATGCGTTTTGATGTGGCTGTTGTGTGGCACTCGTTTTTGACATCCTTCCGAAACCGAAGGTTTGTAAGGGATTTTGGCACGCGCGCGACGCGAGGGCGCGCCTGTCGTCCCACTTGTTGAAAGGGAGTACTGCAAACTTATGGCCTTTGATAAAAGAGCGCGCGAACAACATAGTTTCTTGCAGAGGATGGTGGGGGGGTTCGATCCCGGCTTGGCTGGGATGTCATTGGCGCATATCTAGGAAGGGCGATGGGGCAGAATCATCCAGAAATTGCAACACAAAGTGGTGTGCCGATAAAGCCAGGTGGGGGTGGGGGGGGCCCACATATATTTTAGAGAGGGGGAACAGCTGTTTTCGAACGAGTTGACAAATCCCATGCTGTGGCAATCATCCCACCCACCCACCCGCAACGTGGTTTGCAAAACCCATGCGGTGGCGATTGCGATGAGTGTTTGGCATTGGCTGATGCATCTCCGCGGCCGCGACAATCAAAGCGCGCGCGCAGTGGCCAGGTAGTTTGGCGCCACCGACGCGGCCGCGGTGGCGTTGACCGCTGGGCGCATCCCAGCGGGCACTTCACTGCGAGTCGGCGATTTGGGCGGGCGCGGTATCTTGGCGACGCCGACTGCGGTAGACGCGATGATGATAGTGGCGATGCTGGCGACGATGTCCGCGCCGGCGAAGGCGCGGCCAGCTCGAGTGCCGATGCCGATCCCGCCGGCGACGATGACGGCGTCCTCGCGTTGGTGATGGAGGTTTCGGAAAGAGTGCGCCCGCGCGGCGTAATCTGACCCGGGTCGCGCCCCCCAGCACGCGCGCATGGGCGCGCGAACGATATCGGCATGCGAGCGAGAGGCCCGTTTGGCAGAATTCCGCGAGGATGATTAAAAACTAATGTTTTACTTCAGAATGTGCAACAGAGTTCGCGTAAGGTTTATTTAAAAACTGATGTTGCGAAGCCGCGTGCTTCTGAATGCTGTTTTGGACACTCAGCATGGAAATCGCTGCGCCACCTAAGGCATTTGAAGGATTTCGACATCCGCGACGGCACGCTCGCTGGGGCGTTTGCGCGATTCCGACACGTGCGCGCGCGAAACCCGTTCGATTGTATGTTTTGATAATGTTGAAATTTCTTCTGCGGGGGGGAGGGGGGTCCGCGCTGCGGAACCACGCGCTATATATAATTATATTTGTATGTATACATGTAAATTTTCACGCGCTTTGGACACCCGAATTTGAAATCCATACGAATCCGAATATTCTACCGTGTTTGGGGCATGCGCGCGCGACGCGCGCGCGTGCACTCCGTGCTGTTGTTTGCGCGGGATTCACGAAAATTGATCATTTGTGATGAATGACTGCGCGCGTGGTAGTTTTTTATTGGATGGCGGTGGGGGGGTCGAATCCGGCTTGGCTGGGATAGCGACTTCATATGCAGGATGGGCGGTGGGACAGAATCGCACGGCAACGCAAGAAAATGCGCTCGAAGAGCCGGGGTGGTAGACTGTACTCCGTTGTTGGAAAGGAGAATGTCTGCGATGCAACCAATGTATTGCAACGTGCGCCGTGCAATCTGCGCGGTGCAATTCACCGGCCGAACTTGAAGTGGCAAACACCACTGCTCGCGCAAATCATCCCACTCACCCACCCGCAAGTTGGTTTGCAAAACCCATGCGGAAATAGTTGCGATGAGTGCTGGGTGTTGACTGGTACATCTTTGCGGCCACGCGAGCCCGCAACGACTGCGACGACACCGACGACGTTTCCAACGACTTCGACGACGCCGACGACGACGACGACACCGACGACGACGACGACGACGACGCCGACGACGACGACGACGATGACAACGACGACGACGGTGACGACGACGACGACAACGACGACACCGACGACGACGACTACGACGACGACGACGTCAACGACGCCGACGAAGACGACGACGACGACGACCGCGGCGACGACGACGACGCCGACGTCGACGACGACGAAAACGACGACGCCGACGCCGAGGACGACGTCGAAGACGACGACGACGTCGCCAACGAAGACAACGACGAGGGAGGAGGGAGGACGACGACGGCGACAACGACGACGGCGACGACGACGACGAGGGAGGAGGGAAGAGGGCGACGACGCGAACGACGAAAAAGGAGGAAGGACGGCGACGCCGACGACGACAACGACGAGGGAGTGAAGACGACGACGACGACGACGACGACGACGACGACAACGACGACGACGACGACGACGACAACCACGACGACGACGGCGAGGAAATAGGAGGGACGACGACGAGACGCCGACGACGCACGACGACGACGACGAGGGAGGAGGAGGAAGGACGACCATGGCGTCAACGACGACGGAAACGACCACGCCGCCGAAGAGGACGACGACGACGAACACGAGGAAAGACAGAAGACGACGTAGGCGACGACGACGACGACGCAAGAGCGTGCGCGCACGCGTTTGTTGAAAATCCGTGTTGCGAAACCCTGTGATGTCGTAGTTACTTGGACACGATTTTGAAACCCTTCCGAAACCGACGAGTTTTGAAGGACTTCGGCATGCGCGCGCGACGACGCGCGCGTCTGCATTTCTTCCGGTGTTTTGCAGAGGATTCCCGCGACGGCACACGCGCAAGGGCGTTCGACAGAGTCCGACATGCGCGCGCGAAACCCTTTTGGTAGCATGTTGTGAACATATTGAAACCTTGCGGTTTTCTGAAGATTTCGCAAGAGCTCGCTCGTAACTGTTTGTAGCAAATCCGTGTTGCGAAACCCTGTGTTTTTGTATGTGTTTTGGATACGCGATTGCGAACATCCTTCCGTCACCGAGGGTGTTTGAAGGATTTCGGCATGCGCGCGCGACTACGCGCGCGCGCGTGCACTTCGTCATGTGATTTGTAAGGGTCTCGTGAAAGAGTGTCATGTTATAACAAACAATGTCACCGCATCGTGCTTTTTTACAAGGGAACCTCGGGGTCGACGAGCCGAAATCCTTCACATCAGTAATTTCGGGTCTCGGAGCCCACAGGGCGGTTTTTCATGTTGTCCATTCGACGTTCCATGAGGCCCGATGTCATTCCGAGGCCGCGCGTCGAACGTTTTCGATGGCGCGTCGCGTTATGCGATGTCACGTGCGTTGGGGTCGTCAAAGGCGTGCGTGCTTGTTGCGGATCGGCTGATGTGGGCTGGGGTTTCCCAGGATTGTACATTTGCTTTGCGCTGGGGCGGTTTCGACCCCCATCCCTGGCTGATCCACCCCGCGGGTAACGTCGCAGGAAGAGTTCGATCATTTTGTTCGTAGTGCCAGCGGTGCTGTCGCGGACATTGACCGCGCCACAGGGGGGGTCGTCCAGAAATTTCCTACCATATTGCAGTGTTGGTTTCTCGTTTTGAAGAGACACCGCCCCGCGTCATTCCTTCCGGCTCCCTCCCGCGTCCTCCTTCTTCGCGTATCTGCCCCTGCTCTCCGCGTGTTTCCGTCGTCATCGTCCATCGTCATCGTCGCCATCACCATCATCATCAGCATCATCAGCATTTTCGCCGTCTCCATCATCAATACCACCACCATCCTCATCAACATCATCAAAACACCCCCCTTGTTCCCCCCGCGTATCTGCTTCGCCACATCCCCCGCAAGTCTCGTGGCCTTGTGAGGTGCTCCACCGAAGGCCCCATCGGCAGTGTCCTTAGTGCGCCGCCCAGCCCATGTCGGCACGCCCCTCAGACGCTTCGTGTCCCCATGAGGAGTTCATCGGAGGTCCCGGCGGCAAGGTCCACATGCCGTCGCCCAGGCCTCATTGATGACACCCTCAAACATTTCGTGCCCCTATAGGCAGTTCCACCCAAAAAAGGTCTAAGCGGCAGGTTTCCCAGGCCGCCGCCCAGCATATTTCGGCATACGTTTCACACGCTTCGTGGCCCCACGGGGACCTACACCGACGGCCCCACAGGCAGGGCCCACAGGCCGCCGCCCAGCCCATTCCGTCATACGCTCACAAGTTTCGTGGCCCCATTGGGGGGCACCCCCGATGGCCCAAGCGACAGGGTCCACATGCCGTCGCCCAGCCCATGTCGTCCACGAGTGGCGCCCAGCACGGCTCCAAGAGCGCCCCAAGAGGCGCCGAGTAAGTTGCACCCTCATGCACATAGTTTTTGCCACTTGTGGGGGTCCTCTTGGGGCCCTCTTGGAGCATTCTTGGGGCCCTCTGGGAGCATTCTTGGGGCCCTCTGGGAGCGTTCTTGGGGCCTTCCCGGGGCCCCAGTGGGCCCTCGGAGGGCCCCAAGAATGTTCCCCGAGGGCCCCAAGAGGGACCCCCCAAAATGGTACAAAGAATTCGCGCAAACGTGCAATCTGTTGTAGGCCTTTCGGGGCCCTCTGGGAGCTCTCTTGGGGCCC